ATGGTAGCTTAAACTGTTCCTCATTGTACCTTCCTTTGCTTCCTTCCCTGTATTTTGTATTCAGATCACGTGGTATTTGATATACTGCTCTGTGCATTGCCTTTCACAGCATCTGATGAAGTGAACTCAAGTTCAGACTCTCAAAAGCATATACTATGCATCTAATTTACCTACTCTATAAGATGCAACTCAACCCTGCTTTCTGCTTGACTTCAAACTAACACCCTGTCCTGACTTAAACTGTTGCCAGATCTCTTTGACTTGCATAACCACAAATTTTAAAGCAAAGGGAAGGTGCTGGCCATGTTAGTTTGAAGCCACGCAGGAAGTAGCAAAGAGTTGTACCTTGTAGGCTAGTTCAGGCATCTATATCCTTCCTTCTCTCAATGTTTTAAAATAATAGGTTATATCTGTAGCTGGTGTATCTTAGGGTACTGAATAGTAAAATTAAGTTATATCAGTATATTGTCTAAGAATTCTGCTTTTAATGGCATGTCCACTGCTCTTTTTCCACCTGATGCCATAGTTCTTTTTGGAGTGACAGGCATTTCTAGAGCAGCCTAGAAGAACCATATTCAGGAGTGGAGTAAATATTAAAGAAATTCTACAGAGATACACTTTGTCCCTCTGCCCTAGTAATACAGCAAACCTCAAGTGTTTCTAAGTCTTGAATCACGCCCTCTACCTAAAACCATGAGGCTTGAAATAATCTTTGGGTACTTTTTGACATTTGCAGCTTTTACAGTTCAAACTTACCAGCTTTTTTTCAGTAATCATGAGGGCTAGAAACTTATCTTTCATTTAGAGTACTACATGAAGGAATTGGGCTTTCCAAGTGCCACACAGCATGAAGCTTTATACTAAGTCTCATCATTTTAAGAGGAAAGAAGAGTGTAAGAGAAATTGTATTCTCTCTAAACAGAACATTTTTATTGGCCAAAGGCTGAATCAAAGCACAGCATGGAATGTAATTTGTAATACAGTATACTTGCATGTATACTTAGGGATGTTCCTTGCTACCTACTCAGCCTCCTTTTTCAGCTGGTTTCCCATCTAGGAACCAAGCTGTATTTGACGCTTGGTTTCTTCTTCCTGGCTGCAACACATCTTAGTTGTAGAGATCCATTGTATTTTCCATGCTGACTGTGCAGCCTGGTTTGGCCCTACTCTCACCTATGCTTGAGGCATGGAAAAACAGCTTCAGACATAGTTCATCTGTTACAAAAGACAAGAGTCTTTGCACAGAAGAAAATGTCAACCTGAGCTGACAAATTGTGCTATGAGAAACCATCATCCCTTACCTCTACAACCCATTTTAACAGTGCCTTCAGACCTTCCTCACGCCTGTTGTCCCAGCGTGAGACAATAAATCCTTCCATGCAAAGCTCTTGAAAGAGCATTGGAATTTGCACATAAGGTCCTGAAAGAGAGAGGAACAAGTAAAACAACAGTGGTATTACTTCTGTTTAAAACCCAAATAAGCATGTAATAAGGAGAGGCCTTTCCAATTCAGACACTGATAAAGTGAGGTTAGTCAATGAGTAACCAACTCAAGGCTGCATGCTTGACTTATTCAGTGAGATCATTCAGTATTTGATACTAAAGGTTTTTGGTGGATTTTTTACACGGTGGCTTTAGTTTGCTTTTGCTTAGCCCTAGGGAGATTTAAGGCAAAGTTTCTTGCACAACAGCTCAAATGCTTAATCTTTTTTGAGGGCGAAAAATCTTACAAATCTTGCTTTTTAATGTGGTGTACATATATATACATATATAAACCCAAACTGTCCCCGGCAGTAAAGGGTTACATTTTCAACAGTGCCTACATGACTTGGGAGCCTTAGAAACCCAAGTCTCAGTGAAAAATGACAGGATTTGTACTCCAAGGTACTTTTGAAAGTGATGTAGGAAGCCTAATTTTCACTCCCAACTCCTACTGACTTCACTGGAGGTTTCACAGGGCAAGAAGGAATCTCCCAGGTCAGGTGGGGCCAACCTTTTTGGCAGACATGCCACAAAGTTAGCCCCATACCAGCCCTGGGTGCAACTCCAATCCCTTATCCCTGCCTGATTTGGTCTTCTGCTTTCTGCTCCCTGTCCAATCTGGTGCTGTACTGCCTGTCCCCTCCCTGATCTGCTGCGTGGCACACAGAGAGGCTGCCTGTGCCACCTGTGGTATGCAATAAAAGTAATATGGAACCATAGCATAAGCAAGGTCTACTATAACAGTTATGGGACTGATTTTATATTAGTGAAATTCCATGTCAGCTTTGAAGTATTCTAAACAAGTATTCTCAAGGTTCAATACATAACAAAGGGACACAAACAGCCATGTTTGCTCCGCTGTAACATACTGTTGGTCCTCAGCGGTGTTCTGGGGACTCAGGCAGGTTTGTGGAGCTTGTCCCACCCAAATCAACTACTCGTTCTAGTGAGTTTAAATACAAACAGTATATGGATAATAGTTTGGTATGGGTAAAACGTATCAAGCCAAGTAATCAAATCCTCATTATTAACAAAAGTTTTAATATCTGAAATACAAAGAGGTTAATCTTGAATTTATTAAGTCCTAAATTCTTAAAAGCCTCTAACAGTTGACCAACCTGTCAGGGAAAAGAACTACTTAGCTAGGTTTAAAAACTAAGTTTCAAAGAGAAAATAATTTTCTTGGTTAATCTGCAGCTAGGCCATTTAGCAAGAGCTGTAGTTCAAAGCTAAACAGCAAAGATTTTTAGCTGAACCTGCATTTTATACTCAATTACCAGGCTCAGCTTCAAAAAGCTTGCTAAATAAGGCTAGAAAATAGAAATATGCCTAATAGGTTATTTCAGTTTCATTACTAACATTAACATGAAATCTATTTTGTAGGGTTATTGGGCGTACTTTATTTGTTATCAAGCAGAAATGCCTGTTTCTAATCACCTATATAGGCTGCATTTGCCCTAAACCAGATCTAGCTGGTAAAAACCACTAAATGTTATTAAGTGACCCTGAGCCAACTACTCTTAGTCTGGCTTTCTCTTGCCTTGAACTCTTCTCACATACTATATTTTATTGCCTGCTCATGTCCAGCAGATGCGAGCAAATGCTATAATATATCATCAGTCTTAAACAGCTTAGGGCCTATTGCCCCTCCCCTCCCCTCCCGAAAAAAAAACCTGACAGACAAAAACAAGATGTATACCTTTCTGGGGCTCTTTGTCATTGTATAGAGAGATGGCTCCACACACTGCAATCCTCCCATATTTCTTCATCTGTTTGAGAGCAATGTCTGAAAACTCCACCCACCTAAAGTAGCCAGAACATATCCAGCACACAAAAAAACCACAGAAACACAGAAAATCCACATTGATCATGGAAAGACTGATTCGTTAAACACTTCAGCATGTAAAATGGACCCAGTGAGCAGATGGAGGTGATTTAGAAGCTTCTGACGGGCTAAGTTAGGTGTTTGCAAGATGAGGCTCTTGGTCAATGTTTATCATATCCTCTATTGTATTCAGTCTCCAGTGATCCTCTAAAAGCCAGGGACTGACTCAAGTGGCAAATTTCAGCTCCAGATCTTAAAGTTTCCCAAACTTAGGGAATTGGGGGTTTGGAAGTACAGGCCCAAACTGACTTCTGCAATCAGTTATGTTACAAACCCTATTTTTGGCACCCAGATTACTGCGTCATACTTTGTAGAATTATGACATAAGTCTTGCTCTGAAGGGTAAATCTAAATTAAATAAACATGTCAGAGAGAATAGGAAAGGGACTTACTGTCCAAGCAGCAAGATGAGCATCTTGGTACTAATATAATTAACTCCCATTCATAGGTTGTGTCTATATAGATCTATATCCATATATTAGTGGTGTTTAATTTTAATCATGGGAAAATGTGGATTTTGGGTTACTTTTTTAAATCCAAAAATTGGGGATTTTTTTTTAATCAGAGAAAACCAGGATTCCTGCAAGTGGCACTCTTGTGAATAACCCCAGTACACTGTTGGCTTTTTTTGGTAACAAGAGCACACTTGGCTCATATTCAGTTTATGGTCTACTGTAACCACCAGGTCCTTCTCTGCAGTGGTAGTCAGTCATTCCCCAATCTATGTTAGTGCACACAATTATTCCATCCTAAATGCAGCACTTTGCACATGCCCTTGTTGAATCTCATCTAACTGATTGTGGGCTATTTCTCCAGTCTACCCCGGTCATTCTGGATCCTAGCCTTAGGGTGTCTGCAACACCACACAACTTGGGGTCATATACAAATTTGCTAAGCTTGCATTTGATATCATAATTCAAATCACTAGTGAAGATATTAAACAACACAGGACCCAAAACAGACTCCCAGGGAACCCCACTTGATAGCTCCTCCCAACTATACATCGAGCCATTGATGACTACTTGTTCAGTATGATGACCCAACCAGTTATATATTTACCTAACGGTACTTTTGTCTAGTCTGTATTTCCTTAGCTTGTTGAAAGCAAATGTTGTGAGAAAATCTCAAAAGCCTTACTATAGTCAAGGTATACCACATCCACTTCTCTCCCCCCATCCACAGAACCTGTCACCTTGCCATAAAAGGAAATCAGGTTGGTCAGATATAACATGCTCTTGGTGAATCCATGCCATTTCTGATCACTTTGTTCTCCTCTAAGTGCTTCACAATGGCTTCCTTGAAGACCTGCTTCATGATCTTTCCAGGTACTAAGGGCAGGCTGACTGGGGCTCTAGTTCCCTGGTTCCTCCTCCTTCTCTTAAAGGTGGACCCTATACTTGCCCTTTGCCAAGACTTAACCCAACCTCCACAAGTTCTCAGCCAATTGCTCTGAAATTATCTCAGCCAATTCCTTCAGTACCCTTGGATGTATTCAATATGACTCTGCCTCCTTGATGGCATCTGTCTTCTCTAAGTAATTCCTAACCTGCTCTGCTGTTACTCTAGGCTATTTGTCTCCTTCCCTGTATTTGCTGCCAAAGATCATTTGGTACCTTCTTCGTGAAGACTGATGTAAAAATATGCATTAAATGCTTCAGCCTTTTCTGCTGTCTTCCACATTTTGTAAGAGTCTATGGTATTTCTGCTCTTCCTCTTATTTTTGACATACTTTTAGAACCACTTTTTACTGCCTTTTATGTCCCCTGCCAACTGCATCTCAAACCATGCCTTGGCCTTCTTAATCTTCTTCATGAATGCCTGTGTGAAATTAATACTGTTCTCTAGTAGTATGACCAAATTTTCACTTTTTATAAGATTCCTTCTGGAGTTCCAACTCACTGAAGAGATTGCTATCTAGCCTGGCTGGTCTCCTATTGCACTTCCCATTCTTCCATCACATCAGGATAGCTTGTTCCTGTGCCCTTAAGAGGGCATCCTTAAAGTTTAGTCAGCTTTCCTGAACTTATTTTCCCCTTAGACTTGCTTCCCAGGGGATCCTACCCACCAGTTTCTGATGTTCGGTAAAGTCTGCTTTGCTAAAGTTCAGTGCTGTTATTCTGCTGCCCTCCTTCCTTCCTACCCTTAAGATCTTGAATTCTATCATTTTGTGATAGACCTCTTCAAGATCTAGAGGTCTGTAAGGACCTCCGCAATTTCTCCATAAAAAGCTCTCTGCCCTGTCCACAATGAAGGCAACATTTGAGGAACTTGGAGACAGGTTTAAAACCACCATCCATCTGGCCTGTACTTAATCCACGGGATATCCAAGCCCTCCTTAACCAGAAGAGAATAGTTCATCCTGTTCAGCAAGATGACACCTCATCTCAGCAGAAGCAGACGTACCAGCTCCTCAAAAGTGAAGTTCAAAGGAAGATCCAGAAAATAAAAAAAATCAGTGGTAACAAGTTAAAGCCAAGGAGATCCAGCTCTATGCTGACAAACATGAAATGCATAGCTTTTTCCAGGTAACATAAAGCCATTGGTGGCCCAACTTCCTACAGTCCTACTTCCCTGCAATTGCAGGATGGCTCGATAGTCCTTAAAGACAATGAAATTATCCAAGCTAGATGGAAAGAGCACTTTAAGGCACTCCCATCAAGTCCATCAACCAGCACCCTGGAAGGGGAACCCTCACCAATCCTATTCTAGAAGAGGCCTGGGGTGCCATCAAGGAAACTAAGAACAACAAGGCTACTGAACCGGATGGCACAACTGCTGAAATCTACAAGGCTGGCAGTGAGGAACTGGTACTGAGAATGAATTTATTCTTTGAATTTGGAACAATGAAGAGGTTCCTAGGGACCTGAGGCATCCCAACATGGTGATTATATTCAAGAAAAAAGATAAGTCTGTGTGTGGGAACTATCAAGCTATTATCCCCATTTTCACAGCAGGGAAAATGCTCACTTGCAACCTTCTAAACCATCTTTTACTTCTTGCTGAGGAAGTCCTGCTGGAATCTCAGTGTGGTTTCAGACAATCCTATGGGAGCAACTCACATGATCTTTGTTGCCTGCCAGGTCCAGGAAAACTGTTGGGAACAATGTCAGAACCTGTATATGGCTTTCATTAACCCTGCCAAGACCTTTGACTGCACAATAGTGAAGCCTTGTGGAAAGTACTGGCCAAATTTGGATGAACTGAAAAGTATATCAAGGTCTTGAGGCCCTTCTATGACCATATGACTATAACCATTTTATGTAGTGGATCAGAGACAGATTTGTTTGTCATCCAAATTGGGGTCATGCAAGGGTGCATCATCACCCCAACTCTGTTTTCCACCTTTTTTGACAGTCGTCCTGGTTCTTGTTAAGGACTGCCTTCCTCCTAGAATTGACACTGAATATGGAAGGGATGGAGGGTTCTTCAGTCTGAGTCATTTTCACTGAACGACCAACGTAATCAACACTCAAAGGCCACATTGAAGGCATACATCAAAAAAAACAGATGCCGACATCAAGAGCTGGGAGGTGCTGGCTGCCAAATGACTCCAATGGCACCATAACTTCAACCATGCAGAATCTCATTTTGAGGTAAAGTGCCTTGCCCTTGAAGCAGAGAAGAGAAAGCAGAGGAAGGAAAAGGAAAGGAATCCCAGCCTGCAGACTGCTTTCTCCTGCAGAAAGAGCTACAACTTCTGTGCATGGAATCTATGGCTCAAGGATTGGACCCTTTAAGTCGTCACAAGACCCACCAATGAGCCATGGTAGAGATCATCCTTGAATCGAGGGATTGTCAAGGGATTGTTCCTTCCTACCCTTAAGATCTTAACCTCTATCATTGCAAGGTCATTGTCACCCAATTTACCTTTCACCTTCACATTTACAACCAATTCCTCCCTGGTTGTGAGCAGTAAGTCAAGCACTTCCCTCCTTTTTAGCCTCTCTACCATCTCTCTCAAAAAGTTATCCCCAACACACTCCAGGGAATTGCTGCACTGCTGTGTTCCTTTCCCAGCTGATGTCCCAATATTTAAACCCCCTATGACAACCAAGTCCTGAAATTTGGAAGCTTCCAGATGTTTAAAGAAGTCCTCATCCACCGTCTTCTCCTGATTTGGAGGCTGTTGCCAACAGCCAGCATGACATGCCCCCTGGCTGCTCTCTCCATTGAGATGAAGGTAAAAGGATGTGGCAGAGTTTGGGCACAAGAAAGGAGGCCCAGAAGATGATCAGTACTGAGATATCAACTGGTCAAAATCTTGAACATAAAGAAAAAGAGTTTGAGATGGAAGGAAAAAGGCGGCAAGAATGAGACTCAAGGAAGGAGTGACATGATCAGAACAAAGGACAGGGAAGGCAACCATGACAGTGACCTGTTGAAGGAACTGCAGAAGCAGCTGCAGTAGTTCAGATGAGAAATGAGATTAACAGGTGGGTGCGTTTTATAGACACATCTAACAAGAATTCCTTCAAGTCTGAAAATACTAGCTTGGGTTACTGGTTCTAGATGCAACTGTTACTAAAGGGTTCAACAAAGGGATTGATTCTTGCCTTTTCAGTTACACTTGCTTTTCATAGTTGTAAATGGCTATTAAACGTCCTCAAATCAGATTGCCAATATTTTGCTCTCACTTTGTATGGTTGTAAATTGCTACCCAATGTGACAGGCAGTGGAGAGAAGACCCTAAGACCAGCCAGTGTGATAGACTAGTATGAAAAGAATCAGGAATTACTGCTGATATTAGTTGCAGTCTATACCAGAGATAAAGCACTGGAATTATCATAGTTTCAAATCACTCAACAGATAAGGGAGGGATAATTATTTAAACAGTGAGAAAAAAGGGGAAAGCTAGTTTTCCACAGCATTCTCGGTATTATCAGTCTTTCCAAGCCCAGTTTTGTAATGTGCTCTGTGAAGCTTGGCAAAGTTTCATTGGCTACAACTTCTTTTTCCATTTGGTTGGCAAACATACAGGTTTTTTCCCTGTGTTTCTAAACAAAGATTTCTTCATTTTTGTTAATTTGTGTACCAGCTGCACCAGTGTCAGCTCATTTTGGAACAAAAAAAAGATTGAGAGTACTGTTCCAAAACTAAGCAATTTCCAAATGGCATTGCTCAGTGCTTCAGGAGAGCATTAAGGGTACAGGAGTTCTAGGTTTCTTTTATTCTTACCTCCATTTTCACCTTCGTGATTTTCAGTACTTGTATATCTAATTTTACAGGCTTCTCCCCCCCAACTCCTCACATTTTGATTTTGCTGTCTCGTGGCTTGCTTCCTTCTGCATTTTACAGGCTGCATGAGTGGTAGGGAAGCTATCAAGTTTTACGTTTAGTTTTGCGAAAGAGTGGAAATGTCCTGCTGCCAGAGGAATGCTGAATAGCACAGCTATTGTTCAGTAAGATAGACTTTAATAGAAACAAAGGCTACTTTTCCTAAATACTCATCCAACAGCTACTGAACAAGCCAGGAGATAAAAAGTAAAACACTGCTGACAAGAATTTAATGATGTGATGTGAGATCACATAAAAGGGAGCCTGGATTTTAAGTTAGCCAGTTTAGATGCACACAATAACTTGACTTGTCCTGGCTAGAGCTTTAGAAGTTACTAGTTTATGATGCTAAAATGATCTAGCTCCCATGGCCTAACACACTTTACAATCCTACTCTAGACAAAGCCCGAGTGGCTGGAACGAGCTAAAACAGAATCACCACTAATGAGATCTTGGAATTTGTGATTATTGTCCTTCTCTGTCCCACCAAAGAAAGGGAAACATCTAAGATACCACTTCAGGCTGGTGGAGGGGGAAGGGAAAGAGATAAGTCTTTAGCTCATGTAAACCAGCAGAGCATTGCTGAACTGAATGCATCTACAGCCATTTACTTTATCTAATCATCAGACCCGGACTGAATTCTGTAATTATCTTCTGGGATGAAGCCACAGTCCTTATAAATAAGGATTTGTTATTGCTCACATTTTAGGGACTCTGTCATGTGGCCTAGGGAAGGGGAAGTGGAATGTGACAGCAATAGCTGAACCATTTCTCCTTAGCATGTTGAGTGGTGCCAAAATAAAAAAGGAGATGGATGGGAAAGTGAGTAAGAAACTCTTTAAAGCGCAACTAACTGCCATGGATTCTGTGAGTTCACTGTTTATCCTGGGAAAAGGTCAGACCCTCATTTTCTTAAGAAAGGCAGCCTTTGCAGAGGCTGAGGGAGGCAGTAACATTGAGGGAGAAAAAGGAGGCATGGAATCTGCATTTTCAAGTCAGCTGATACTGGGAGAAATATTTTAAACACTCATTCACTTATTTAAGAGTTTCACATAGGTTTTTGTAGTAAAATTAATGGTATTTTGATTTTTTGAGATAATAGATTGCTATTTGGTTCTTTTTTTTCTTGCCTTGCTCTATCAGTGTATACCATGGTACTACATGCTAGCCAAGGGTGGGTAAAATATGGCCTATAGACCAGATATGGCCCACCAGGCCATTCTATCCCTTCACAGGGCCCCCCAAAAATTTAGAAAATTAATATTTATCTGCTCCTGGCTGCCTGTCAAAGATGACAGGGGCAGTAGGACCCAGGGGAAGCCACGGCAGACTTCTGCAACAGCAAGGCCTCCTGGCCCTGCCCCCCACAGCTGGAAACCCTTGCCTAGCAGGGGTTCTGGCCTGGGACCATGGGGCTGTTTGTGTCTCCCTGTGCCAAAGCATGGAAATTCAGGTAAGGGCAGGGGGGAGGGGGTGGGGAGCAAGGGAGGAATGGGGGTGATCGCTCCAGTCCTCAGGGCCGGGCCGTCTCCTGCTGAGTCCTGCAGTCTGACCATGCAGCCAGGAGCTGTGGGGTGCAGAGCAGCTGGCGGGCAGGTAGGAAAGTGGGCAAAGCACCGGTGGGGCTGGCGGGGAGTGAAAGCGAGCAGGTGTGTGGGAGCACAGGGCCTGCACCAGTGTCTCAGGGCCAGCACTGGCGGGGCCCAGAGTAGGGCGGAAGGAGTGTGAGATGCGGGCTGGCAGGGGTCTGTGGAGCTGGGTTGGGCTGCAGCAGCAGAGAGAGAGAGAGAGAGGGGAGCCTGCCTGGCTTCATAGAGCCCCTGCTGGACGGGACCCCATGCTCCTGCTGCCCTGCTATGGGCCCCACTGGCGCTGGCCCCAGGACACCAGTGTGGGCCCCGTACTCCCATCTGGTTGTCACTGGCTCCTGTTCACACTCAGTCCCAGTCCCACTCACCCCAGCCCCTCAGTACAGGCGAGGACAAGCACATGCAGCCCCGACCCTGCATGGCCATGCTTGCCCACCTGGGCCAAGCAGCGGCAGCACAGGACAAACTGCTGCTCAGCATGGGGGAAAAGCAGCCCCTTCCCCTCCCCGTGGCTGGCACTTCCTGGTCCTGGTGCAGCTGCCCAGAGCCCACGCAGAGTGTTCTGTGCATCTGCTGCATCACTGCTGCCTCTGGGCTGTCTCACAGGGCAGCAGTGGCAGCAGAGAGCAGGCACAGGCAGCACTGTATGGGCTCTAAGCGGCTGAACCAGGGAGTGCTGGCAGTAGGAAGGGGAGGGGCCGCTTTTCCCCTGTGCTGAGCAGCAGTATGTTCCACACTGCCGCTGCTCAGCCTGGGCAGCAGCAGCAGCTGGGCAGAAACTGCTGCTCGGAGTAGAGAAAACCACCCCCCCACCTCGCCGCCAGGGGGCGTTGTTTGCTGCAGCAGTCCAGAGCCCACACCACACTAGGCTGCAGTGTAACTCCTTCATTGCCACTTGTGAGCTGCCAAACGCAGCTGCTGCACACAGCGGGGGGAGGCTCTTTTCTCCCATGCTAAGGAGCAGTTTGTCCTGCACCACCGCTGCTCAGCCCAGACGGGCAAGCATGGGGTGTTTGGGGTTGGGACTGCATGCACTTTTCCCCGTTTGTACTGCTGGGCTGGTGCAGGGGGGACTGGAAGTGAGCAGGTGCGTAGGAGCCAGTGACAGCCAGATGGGAGCACAGGGCCCACGCCGGTGTCCCGGGGCCAGCACTGGCTGGGCCCAGAGCAGGGTGGCAGGGGCTCTACGGAGCTGGGCCAGCTCCTCTCTCTCCCTGCTGGTGCAGCCCAGCCTGGCTCCATAGACCCCTGCCTGCCCATGCCCTGTGCTCCTGCCACCTCACTCTGGGCCCCACCAGTGCTGGCCCTGGGACACTGGCGCGGACCCCATGATCCTGCACACCCACTTGCTTCCACTCTTACCTGTCCCTGCCACCGCTCTCCCCATTTTCCTGCCTACCCGCCAGCCACTCTGCACCATGTGGCTCCCATACCCACAATACCATGCTCACACATCCCTACAAACCCCCATACCCATCCACCCACAGCTCCCCACATACCCTACACCCCACACAATATACTAGTAAGACTGCATTTTGAGCTATTATGCAGTCACTTCTACACATACAGCACAAACGCACACAAATCAGGACAAAAATATTTTTTTAAATTAATATATATTATTATGGGTGTTTGCTTTTTATTATATAATTTGGGTTTTTTTCCCTAAGATGACAAACCCTGTTCCCCAAAGGAGTACTTCCAGGGGAAGGGGAAGGACTTCCAGTGGCAAAGGTCAGAGGTTAGGAGCTTGACTTCCAGTCCCAAGATGGCGACCAGGGGGCGGCGCTACCCATGTGGCCCTCAACAGCTTGCCAAAACTTGGTAAGCAACTGTCCACCCAAAATAACTGCCTGCCCCTGTGCAGGGCAGTAAACAGACATGGTAAGGGACAAACCCTGCCTCAAAATGCATAGTCTGAATGGGCAAGATAGACAAAGGGGCACAGGAGAAAGGTAGGGGGAGTACTGCTCCAGACCAGGTATCAAGACATCAAGAGGGGAAGCCATTTGCCCGTGGCTGCACAGGAAGTCTGCAGCACAACCAGGAATAAAACTTCAGGATACCAAGTTAGAGCCCAAGACATCCTATTCCCACAGTGCCCCCATGATCAGTCATGGACAGTCCAGCTCCTCTCCCCCTCCTCCAAACAGGGAAAAGTAAGAATGACTGTAAAAATCAACTCCTTTTTCAGGAAGCTCCCAAGCCAGCACCTTTGGCTCGTGAAAGAGAGATGTGAACAGGAGGTCTGAAAGAGGGGGCTTAGGAACAGAGGGTCTCTAAGGGGACTGGTTCTCAGAGAGCCTCTCTATGGTGCTCCTGCTACACCTGAGAAGTGAAATCAGTGGCAGAAAGCTGCTCATTTGCCCCCTCCCCCTACCCATTTGAGCTTACATTATCAAAGTAGCAGTCATAGCCACTGGGGGAGGCCTTCCGAAGGGCTTCTTCCAAGGATCCTACAGTCTTATAATTAAAAGCTTCGTCAAAGCCAATTTGTTTCAGATATGCAACCTTTTTATCTGAGCCAGCACAGCCAACTACTGTGCAACCCTGTCAGAAAAGAAAATATACCTTAGCCCATGTGTGACTTCAGCATACAAATCTATGTATAAATAGACATTACATTGCCTCCAGGTAGTGGGGATGTAAAAACCCATGCCTCTCCTTGTTTCAGACAGCTTTTGAATGCTGCAGGGTCCTATTCCCACCTCCTCCCCCTCCCAGCCCCCAATCTGGGGACCACTGCTCTGAACCACCCCATACAAGTTAGCAGTTTGGGTTCCTATCTGTTCCCTGATTCTCTGTTCTTCCCATATCACATCACAGATGGGAGGAGAGCACATGCTGCACCCCTGGCAAAGGATATACAGTCCATCCAGGTCCCTGGGTAGATGCTTATGTAGTCAGTTGGCAGACAAGGTTCTTTGGGTGAATCTGATATCTTTTATTGGACCAACTTAAATAGTTGGAAAACAATTATTAATCAAGCTATGTAGTCAGTTTACACTGAGCTCAATGCTGCCATAGTTTCTTACTGGTACCCAAGCTAGCTAATGTATGTCTACACCTCAATCCCGAGGTATGACTGCAACTCAGATAGGTATTGCAATGTAGCGAGACCCAAAGAGACATCTCATCCCCCTACTCTTATGCGTTTCTGCCTCTTCACCCCTTCCCTAATTTGGCCATCTGTGGTATTAATTATGAACAATTAAAGCCACTTACTCCAATTTTAGCAAGTTGTCCCACAACTGTGCCCACAGCCCCTGCTGCTGAATTAACCAGCAATATGTCTCCTGGCTTTATCCTGCAGATCTCGAACAGGCCAAAGTATGCAGTGAGGCTGTGAGAAAAAGAAACCATATGCCATGTGGATTAGTAGAGTGGTGACAAACACAAAGGTGTAATGTGGGGATAATTAATTCTTTCAAAGGTTCATCTTCCCCATTCTGTAAGAAGTATTAAAGTACTTGTTAAAATAGCTTGTGTTTTTTAATTAAAGGGCTTCTAATCTTGTAAGCATATTTGCTGGATTTACAAAGACATAATTTTTCCTGGAAAAGCAATTCACCCTTACCTCTGTGAGGACAGCCAGATTTCAGAATCCTCATTTCTCTTGTAACAGTTAATGGAGCTAATTCTCCCCTTAATTCCTGCAAATTCTGATCTCAGTAACACGATGAAAAACCAGAGTAGCTCCTTTGCTTTAACTTAATTACTTTCCTTTATACTAGTGAAGTAATCTTAGACTTAGATCTAACAGCGTTAGTTGTATCCTGTAAGGGAAAAATCAGGCCCAGGGTGGCTACCAGCATCTCTCTGCTTCAGGCATCTTCAGGTTCAGCAAATTACAGCATTGACATGTAACCATTTGGGGTATTCTTTTGGTTAAAAGTAGCCTGGAAATGCAAGGGACTGGACTCCATGGCCCAGGAGGCCCCTCCCAGTCCTATGTTACAATGTTCACCTTCAGCTTTGACTGACAAGGGAAGCTTTTCCAGGTACAAATTACATTTCAAAGTAAGCAAGTCTGCATGCCTAGCATGTAAGCCAGATGGCACCTTCTCTGCCATGCACAAATAGGTCCTGGGTAGCAAACTACTCCTAACATTACAAGCAGGCTTCCATTGGAGACAGCGGTTCACATATTCAGGTCCTCAGAACTTCACCCCAAGATCTTTCTTTGAGCTCAAATTTCCCAAACAGATTCAGCATAAAGGCTGATCTGTTTGTAATCTAAACTTAAACTGCCCCCATGTGGGAAAAATACACATCTTGCTTGCTTTTAAAATAGTTTTTGGAAACTTTTGTTTTGCACTAATAACCAAGTTGAAAGCTTGGATGGTGCTCAATAAGGCATCATCTTGCTCAAAAAAAGAATGGGAGAAAAGTGAAAAAAAAACAGTTGTGTTTTTTGTTGCCTGGTCGTTGTGTAAGTGGCATGGCCTGTCTCCTGCCTCTAGAGCAGGGGTGCTGCTAATGTGGATTTCTCTGAGAGTTACTCTGTAATTGTTTTTGGGTCTGCTCAGTCCACCTACCTTTGAAGTCTGCAGGAGCCTTTCTACTAACTTCAGTGTATATTGAACTGAGTCTTTGATCTTCTTTTTATTTCCAGCCTCTTAGCAGCTCATAACCCTGTTCCTGAAACAGATGGCTGAAATAAGACTGCACTCTACAATGTGGGTAGAACAGTTTCAAATGAGGATGTAGATAAAATTTAAAAAATCCTCTCATCCGGAGGATAGAACAAAATTCAACCCCTTTTCAAGGCAAGGACCATCTCAGAGTATGCACTGGTTCAACTCAAGTATTGTGAAGTGACGCTGACAATCCCCCATGCAGCAAAGTTCAGCTGCCCTCTGTCAGTGTGCCCTGTAACTCACCCTGGCATACCAATAGTCCCAAGAGCCAAAGATATGGGGAGTGTCTCTGCCAGGGAGAAGGCAGCAGCTGCAGGTCTTTCCCATTAGAAATGAAGTGGGTTGTCCAGCCTGCATTAGCCACAGCAAATTTCCCTATATGGTAGGTGGGATTCTTGCTTTCCACAATCCTACAAAAACAAAAAAAATCACATATCACAAGTGTATCCTTTTATTGGGCACCAACAGGCACTCCCCCTGCCTTCCTTTACCCTAGTTGTATTAAATTTTTACATAAGTATAAGTTGCACCATATGGGTATTAGGAGGAAATGCTCTGTGGAGTTGGATTTAACTCATAACTGCCTACATTGTAGGTTTCTTGCACCTTTTTCTGAAACAGCTGGTAGTGGTCACCATCACTGGAAGGACATCTGGTTAAATGAACCATGGGTCTTATCCATTATGGCAATTCCTCTGTTCTGAATATACTGTATTTTCTCAGATACAACACACTCCAGAATATAATACACACAATTGTGTTTGAAAGGTTGAATGAAGGAAAAAAAAAAAGACTTTTCCAGAGTTACAGCTGCATAGAGTAGTGGCAGAACCTAATCTTCAGCTGATTCACCCTCCTTTTCCTGCTTAACTAAAGCTGTAATGCTAGCCATTGCTAAAGACTGCTGTCCATGGATGGGCCTATGATTTTGAAAAGTTAAAGAGTCTTTGTGGTTGTTAAATAGGAAGAGAGCGACCAGAAGCAGGTAGCAGACAGGAAAACTGCCTGAAGAAAAGTAAGCTTGATTAGTGGAACAAGGCCATTAAAAAGGAGAAATGATTGTTAACACCTTAGGTGCCTGAATAGTAATGCAACTGCACTGTGGAACAGGAATCAAAGCAGGGCGCTTGTGTTTTGGGCAGAAAATCAGTTTCCCCACTTAATATATGGCTGCCAATTTGGGGGGGGGAAGTGTGTCTAGTATAAGAGAAAATATGGTATGTTAGAAAAGCTCCTAAAGATCAGGTGAAATGAATAGTTCCCTATTCAGAAAACAGGTCCTCATTCAAATGCTGAAGACATTTCACTCCATGGGGCTGTGGAGCTGCTTGGAGCACAGCCCAGTGGCTGGAGGTAGAGAGAGCCAGAGCTGTACTCCAATCGGCTCCGCCAGCCCCATGGAGCTTAGCCTGGCAGCGAGAGGCAGGCAGAGCCAGGACTGCACTTCGCCTCCTGTCACCGGGCTGAGCTCCATGGGGCTGCACCAGGCCGGATGACAGGAGGCTGCCACTGCTGCCTGGGGCCAGCGGCAGCATCAGCCTTCCCCAGCACTGGGTGAGGGCTGTGCCCAGCACCAGTTCCAAGTAGCAGCAGCAGCCTCCTGTCATCCAGTGCAGATCCGGGGGCCTTCACCCCTGGGATGAGTCCGGCACAGCCCCAAAGCCCTCCTGGGGCTGTGGGCTCCTGGATCTGCATGCTGGATGACAGGAGGCTGCCGCTGCCAGCAAGTGTCACCACTTTTGCTTTTTGAAGTTTGAGGTGCAGTTTCCAAGAAACCTCTGCACCTACCTCTTTGAAACTTGGCAGGCTTCATGCCCTCAGAAGGCGCTAACATCCCTGCAATTTTCATCCAAATCAGGCAAGAAATAACAACGTTTTAGGCATTTTCATGATTTCCCACTATAGCCTATGGGTGAAACATCGAAACGTGTGGAAACAGTGAAACAGTTTCAATGAAACGAAATGGGACAGCTCTTTGAAACAAAGTGAAATGACAAAACGAAACACTGTCCCTTCAAAATGGTGAAATGGACGTTGAAACGAAATGATGGTGTTTTGCACAGCCCTATTACGAAGGTAAGGAGTGCACAATCAGACTTAAGCGACCTCTAAGCAGTAGTGGGAAAAGGTAATGTAAGCTACAAGCAACCATTTCTAGGCCTTCAAGTCTCCTGTGCAAAAGGATAATAAATTAGGAAAAAATGAAGCAACAAACCAATTAAGACCTTACCTAGCAACTTGACTGCCCGTCATTTTGTCCCCTTCCTTCAAGGACGTCTGACTGTAAGGCCTAAAACAGACCAAATGGAGATACAGCATTATAGTAAGTGCCTGAAAGGATACTCTACACTCACTACAGTATATTACCCACTTCCTGGCTAAGACATGGTGCATCAAAGGCCCCACTCCGCAGAGAGAACAATTAGGGTGTCATTTGAAACAAGACACAATAATGAAAATGTTCTTGCTCTCTCACGCAACTACTATACTGGAATAACCAGTTACAGAAGGGTAGCCCCAGGCAGTTACAAGGTTAAACTGCAATTAAAGAACACATTTAAAGCTGTCAAGGTAATGCTGATTCTCAGAAGAACTGAATTCATTTCCTGAGTCTACAAGTGTCCTTTGTGACCTCTATATCTTAATGCCCCATTAATACCATGGGGATAACAATACTACCTTTCTCTCACCTGTCACCTGTCTACTTAGATTACTAACCCTTTAGGCCAGGGGTTGTCCTTGCTGAGTACATAAGCAACACCTGACATAAGGGTGTCTTGATTTCAGCTGAGGCTGCATGGTTCTATTAGAATGTGCTAGAGTTAGAACTTGCAGACCACTGGGCACATCTACATGTTCATTAATGCACCTTAGATACTACGTATTTAGGTTACTACTTGCTTAATAAAGTACTAACTGAATGCGCAATAACTAGAGTTACTGCACAGCAACACCAACGTACAGTTATTTTGTAACGCTTACTGTGGATTAGCCTAAAAGCACTGCACAGTAGGCTATTAGCACAGTTTTTAACCACCATGCTACCGCGCAGGGTATTAGGCGTATGTGCAGTGAACATCTCGTGTAGAAATGTGAACCATGTTCAGTCCTGCATTCCCAAACTCTGTTAGAGCCCAGCGAAATTCCAGAGCTGTAGCATGGTTGTCTAGCCTACTCAGCATGACTGAACTGTGTTCCAGCTCTATGTTGTAGAAATTGAGGGATGCTGTATTGTCACTAGGTTCATCAGTATGAAAGCTGTTGCAGAGTAGTGAAGACACAAATAGGG